AAGTTGTTCATGTACCCAATGAAATTCACTCTAGTTTGAATGTACCAAAAGGGAAATATGGTAATTAAAGATGGCAGCTCACCCTTGAGCCAGAATTGATGATAAAATAAAGATAATTAGTTTTAAATAATTTGCTTTTGTGTTACGTGCATAGATCCTGATCTTTCTCTTCAACTTCTGCATTTCCTTTTTGTGGGAAAGCTGTAATTCAACTTCTCTTGTTGGTGGATAGGCTAGTTAATTTTTTTTGACTTCTTTTGAAAGAATTTGTATTTAGAGTATTATGAATACCAGTATGCACTATGCTTATTGTTTTATGATTCATGAAGGCGTGCTAAGATTAGTAGAGAACTTCGTGTATTGATTGGATTTTCTTGTAAATCTTCGCTTGTATTGTGAATTTGTGATGCTGTAATTTTTCTCTGCCTCTGTGATGCCTTCTATTCTACCCCAATATTATGGCAAATTTCACCCATCACATACGTTTTCTGTCTACCTCTATTATAGTAAAAAGATTAGATAGGGTCTTGAACGCCTGCCCGAAGAAAAAGAGTGAGAACATAGATATGTTCACTTTTTGTGTAATTTGTTTGTCTCTTAAAGCATGTTAAATCTTGGGCCCATTACTAATGATGAAGTTGAAAGTTGAGGTTTAGACAAATACCATTTCTCTTGGTATTGGACATTCTGCATATATACAATCAGTTATTTAGTTACACATATTTGTGTAAAAAAATGAATTATAGTTATTTTAAATTACTTTATTGTTTGTGTTTTTGAATGAAAATCCGTAACTGAGATTAGTTTTATTTTAGCACATATCTTTATTTTAGCACAATGATAGTCATGTCGCAGTGGTATCAAAAACTACTAAATTCCTCACAAAAACATGCAGTTCAAGGAGCAACCTAGGTCATATCTCACAAGGATGCAAATGCACATTGCTCTAATCTCAATTATGCATAAAAGGTTGTATATTTGGGGGTTTAAATGCAGAAACTGAATTGCAAAATTAAAATGCAGAAAACAAAATTACAGAGAATGAAATCGCAGAGAATTGAAATGCAAAAAATGAAATTACAGAGAATGAAATTGCAGAGAATTAAAATGCAGCAAAGACATTGCACAGAATTGGAACCGAAAGTTAAAATCGAAATTCAGAGCACAAAAATCCAAAACTAAGATTGAATGAAAACCGAATTTGTTTAAATCTCTTCTGCACAACAAACAATTAATCAATTGATTGTTATACGATTAAGAACAATGCATAATTCAATCGAACAATGCTTCTATACAATCGTAAAAATGTGAGATCGGAAAACAAACTCGGAGCATAAAAAACGTCTTGAACAAATGCGATCTGGACTTTGGCAATGAAATTGAAGGGGGAACATAGCAGAAATCATCTTGACTTTGTAGAATCTTAAACGTCTTTCAATTGTAATTGCAAAGGCATACGAATTCAGAATGGAAAAATGCAAGAAAAGAAGAAGAATGGTAAAAAAAATGAGAGGTTCAATTGGAAGCGGGAAAGGTATTGCAAACTGAAAAACAAAAAAATGAATCAAAAAGTCCTTCCCAATCAGCCCCTGACCTCTATAAATAGTAATCCTAAAAGAGCAAAAACCGAGTGGGCCAAAGTTGGGCTGAAATTAAATACAAAAGAACTGCAAAATAAAAGCAAAATAAAAACTATACAATAGTCAACTAAAAGTCTAAACTTATAAAATTCGTAGAAAATAGCTCCGGACTCCAAACAGCACGATCGAAATATCCAAATTAAAGCCCCGGAAGTAAGGAATTCAATGCAAAAAGAATCAGCCAAAAAGAATATCTACAGAAAAAGTTATGGTCAAATTAGTAACCAAAGGTCAGAATAGCAAATATGAACAAAAGTATAGTATTTATGAAAATTCCTAATTAACAAGATAAATGCAAAAACATATTAAATGGAAGAAATAAGGGAATGAAAAGACATGCAAAGGATGCAATAAGACTAAAAATGTGATAACAAAATATGAGCTATCACACAACCAATTACTAAAGCATGTTGTAATCATTTGGTATGGTGCACCTCAATGGCTTTTTGTTCATATTATTGTTTTATACAGACAATTTTAAATATCATTTTTTTTAAATTGTTGTAGTCAAAGTTTACATGGCCACCTCAATATAAAGATATGATAAGACGTAATTTGGAAAAAAGAAGCTCATAAAGAATGAATCAAATAATGCAAGAAATTCAAAAAGATTTAGGTAATAAACTAAGTTGGATTGGGGACCTATCTAGACACAACTAAAGGCACATCAAAAATCATCAAGTTTTAAAGAAAGATCTGAGATAAATAAAAGAAACCATGAGTCCATGGCTGGTGCTTCTTTTCACATTGGTGGATCAATCCCTCATCGTGTGCATTGGAAGATAATGGTATGATTATTGTACTATTATATTAATTTTATTTATAAAATTAGTAGTTGCTAAACTTTTTCTTTTACCAATTATAGAAGAAAGAGAAGGGGATAGATCTATCACTAATTGATTTTTATTTTCGCACCCATAGAAGAAAGGATCATAGTTGGGTGGGTCCTTATGCGAAATCTGCTTATCTAAGTCTCATTTCACTATAACTTATTTTAACTTATGTTTTACTTTAATGTTTGCACTCATTGATTATGTATTTATTGACCACTAAAGTTAGTTGTTACCTTAAACTTATTTATTTTTATTTCAACTTAATGAAGGAAAATTTTGAACAAAGGAAGCTTGCATTATCTTCTCAACATTCATCTTTAGGAGGGGATAATGGCAATGGTAGTGAAAAATTGATAAGCATGCCACTTGATATTGATATATGGGTAGACTTGGTTGGTGGAAAGAAGAAAGGAAAAATCTTTGGTCTTGGATTTTTAAGCAAGACTTTAGTTGCATCTTCAAGTCAACTAACAAATTTAGAGGATGTTGATGCAATTAGAAGTCAAGTTTAAGCTCTAAATGAGTCACTACAAAGGAAAGAGCAAGAGAAACTAGAGATGAGAAAGGAATTGAGCAAAACTAAAGAAATGAGGAAAGAGTTAAGTGATACTAAAAAGCAATTAGTAACTTTAATGCAATATTTAAGATTTACTGCATCTAGCTCTCATCCACCGCCATCACCCCAATATAGTAGTGAAGATAACAGTAGTGATTATGATAATGTTTGATTGTAATGATCATAATAGTTTTAAGGATTACATTGAATATAACATGTGATTATGTTTTTTTTTTAATTATGTTTTGTTATATTATGTGTGGATATAGACAAAAGTAGACATAGGCTCACAACTTTGGAGACCTTTTATATGGATGCTATTTTAATTTATGATAATTTGTGATTTTAGTAAGAAGCATACAATGTGAATCTATATGATGTTGAATAACAATTATAAGAATGTTGTGCATTCTATGTTGTCTATCTGCTTCCATTCATTGTAAGTGGATAAACTCAATGTTGTGCATTTGTAACTCCTTCCATCTAATGTCATCAAATATGGTGAATATATTGTATTTTTAGTGTGACAATGGCTGGTATGGAGTAGATTGCAACACTCCATCCTGCTCTAATTGATGTTCCAAATGATGCTTAAGCCAATAGAAAAATGATCAATCTTAATTAATTACCTTTGTTAGAAAGCCTAAACCAATTTACTTCATATCTAAGCACTTGCATGGTTTTAGAGTTTTTTCTTGAGTTTGTTTGATCAAGAGTAAGCATTGCAAATTTTTATAATGTGAATCTATATGATGTTGAGTAACAATTACAAGAATGTTGTGCATTTTGTGCTGTCTATCTGCTTCCATTCATTGTAAGTGGATAAACTCAATGTTGTGCATTTGTAACTCCTTCCATCTAATGTCATCAAAGATGGTGAATATATTGTATTTTTAGTGTGACAATGGCTGGTATGAAGTAGATTGCAACACTCCATCAATGATTTCTTCTATAAGAGAGTGGCTTAGTTGGTTGCATCCTGCTCTAGTTGATGTTTCAAACGATGCTCAAGCCAATAGAAAAATGATCCATCTTAATTAATTATCGTTGTTAGAAAGCCTAAACCAATTTACTTCATATCTAGGCACTTGCATGGTTTTAGAGTTTTTTCTTGAATTTGTTTGATCAAGATTGCAAATTTTTATAATGAACCCCGCCCCTTACACCTAAAAAAAGTTAATAATTTTTTTTACAATTTTTTCTTATTTTCTTAGAAAATTTTTCGTTGATAAATTTGCAAAAAAAATTATTTACAAGTTTTCTTGAATACTTGCAAAATTTCTTGAATTTTTTTTTTTCAATTTTTTATGAAAAATTTTATATGCAGATTTTTTCTACAAATTTTTCTTTAAATTTATCTGCAAATTTATTTGTATATTTTTTAGGAGATTCTATTGCAAATTATTTTTTACACGAAAGAATCTATAAATTTATTCCTACTAAAATTTGTAAAAGATTACCTACAAATATTATTTTTTGTAGAAATAATTATTTATAAAAAATTTTCTCGTGACAATAAATTTACAGCAAAATTGGCATGAAATATGTTTTTTTACAAATTTTTTATAAATTTTGCAGAAAATTTTGTAAAAAAAATCCTGAAATTACAGTAATGATTGAAAATTTAGCAGGCTATATATGATTTTACGTATTTTATCATATATTCTTTAGTAAAAATTTCAAATTCCTACGAATTAAATGTAAACTATACTATCTTTAAAAAAATTAAATGCATTTTCTTTTATTCTAATTTTAAACTTATATTTCATTTAAAAGATAAAATTATATATTTATTTTAATATAAACAAATTTTTAACGGTAACGAATGATTCTGCAACTTTCAATTCTAGCAGCTCATCGCTAGACTTCAGCGTAACTTTTACCCTAATAAATCATTATTATTTTTAAACTAAAATGAATTTTGTTAAATTGTTTCCAAGTTCCAACGGCGAATAACTGCTGCAACGGTACACGGCAAATGATGAGAACGCTGTCTGGGCAATTTCGCTCCATCAAACGCCCAAATCAAAACCCTAAATTATCCAAATCGTCGTCTCCTACAAAATCAGAAGTAAAATTCAACAGCAAACCAAAATCAGAATCATGGTTTGTTTATCTCATCCTCTCCACCAACCATCCAATCAAAACCTACGTTGGGATCACAACAAATTTCCCTCGCCGGTAACTTAAACTTTTTGATGTTCTGAGTTGTTTCTATCAACTTCCATATTCGATTCACTTATAACCTCCTTGCCATTCTGTCAATTGGGTGAGGAAATTTTTTGTCTTTTTATATTTTGCATTTCTGTTAGTAATGAAACGTATCGTGCTTTTGTATCTGTCTGTCTATAAGTAATTAATTAGAATTAATCAGTGATTAGTGTTGGGGTAATGTAATGGGGTTAGATTTGCCATGTCTTTTTTAATTATACAATGCTTATGTCTGCAACTTACTCTCAAGTTAAAGAAATCGATGTTTGATTTGTACTTATCTTAATTGGTGTAGTTTGAAGCAGCATAATGGTGAACTTCAAGGTGGTGCAAAGGCATCACGTGCCGGAAGGCCATGGATTTGTGCATGCATCATTTGTGGTTTTACAGACCGAAGTGAAGGTATACGTCTGCTTTTCGTGTTCTTTTATTACATCAAGGCACTACTACATGATTGATTTTCCGTTGTTATAAGCTCAACACATTGTAGAAAGAAACTTGTTGATTTACTTGTGTTCTTGTAGCTTATTTAATTTTTTTCCTTAGAATATTTCCCCATTTGATGTTTGTTCATTTGGATGCTATATTTGTCGAGTTACCTGCTAATAATTGAAGTAGTTAGAATTGTAATTTGTATCACATGTAAACTCTACCGTTAACTATATTGTTGAGAAAATATAAAGGACCTGAATGCTATTCAGTTGCTATGTACATATAATTCAATTGGCTTCTCCCTCTGTACGATAAGAGTAGGATTGCTCGAAAGAGATGGGAGGGAGCTAATTGATAATTTCTTTTGAGTTCCTATTCTTACAATGGTGTAACCTATGATGTTATTCAATATGACCTAGTAGTTTAGTGTAATGAGTTTTGTCAATATATAAAAAGAGAAAAACACCAGGGCTTGTTTATGTGGTCAGATTTTTGTTGTTTTAGTCTCTAGTTCCTGTTAGTTTATTGGGAGGTTGACTTCAGCAACATACCTCAATTATGAAGTGCCTTCTCCCATACTGCCACCTCTCCCTATCAATTATTGTATCAAAAGAAGCCGGTTTACTCAGCATTTAAGGGTTTTGGTTGTCTATCTTCGCATTCATCCTACCCCCTCAAACAATAAATTCAGTCCTCAGGGTATCCCTGCTGTTTGTGGGTTAACCTATTGGTTAAAAGAGTTACAAGCTGCATGACCTGCAGAAGAGGACCTTCTTTGTATCAAGAGATGTTATTGTCATGAAATATCTTACCCTCTCACCCACTGATTCCTCTCTTGATCCATTTCCAGACTTCATTATCCAATTCCTTTACCTGACACGGCCACTACTTTCACTTCCTCAAATCCATCATCAAATTCAGCCAGAGTCATACAGTAATTGAAACACTGCCCTCCCTAGGAGATATTCAAGAGTTTCCAAGCATCCTATATACATACATGAAAGTATACAAGAAGCCAAGGAAAGAATAACTGAATCAGCTAACTAATTTAAGTTGTATTGTCTGTAATAAAATAATAAATTTTTACAGTTGAAGGCGTTATTTTCCCAACTGTATTAATCTGAAGTAGCAAAGTGCTGACAAATATGATGATAATTTTGTGTTTTATTTTTCTTATTTGTACAGTAGTATAATGTGATTTTTTTCTCATTTTTCAAGCATTATTACCATCTTTGCCATAGATTTGGCTTATTTGATAACCCCTTTAATCATCGAGAGATTCGTAATTTGGGATGTGTGTGTGGGGACATGTTTGAAAATCTGTAAGCATGGATTCAACATAAAAGCTATAACTGGTAATGTTGAAGTAAATGTTGATCCACATGCATCCTAACATAAAACCAAATATGCTAGTCTTTTCCCTGTAATTGAATCATGGTACTGGCACGAATTTTGGACTGTAGTGAAGCACCCGAATCTCTCTCTCGCTCACTCTCTAAGAAGAAATTATTTTGAAGTACCCCCCAAGCCATACTTGCAGAATATTATAATCCAGCTAGCTTTTTCCGAATTGACTAGGATATTCTTCCTATGTATAATTGTCCCATCTTTTGCTAAACCGCCAGTTTCACATCTCATAACTTTGAAGTTGATGTATATTTTGTTTCATTTTGCTTCATCATTTTAGCTAGTGTATTTGAATCAAAATGGAAAGCTTTTTCAAGGAGAGTTTCCCGCAAAAATCAAAATGAGAATCTCTCCAAGCAAAGTGAAGATCCATCATTACCACTGTTGCGACACAGACAAGCAGCTTTGAATAGAGTAAAAGGCTCACTTGACTGCACTCACTTAGAAATTAATTGGCATTTGGATCCATTGTGATTCAACTCCCACGTGTTTCAATTAAGTAAGTGTAATTAATTCAATTGACAAAACTTAGACTATATGGTATATATAGTATTTAATAGCAATTGTACCATAGACATTGATTGCTTATTGCAGTAAGGTCTCTGTATAGCTCACGAGTAATGAAATGGTATACAAAAAACCAGCCCTTGAGTATAGGAAGCATGGAACGTAACATTATTAATTCAGCAAAAAAATAATATTTTAGCTGAAGCCGGAGCAGTGGTTTTCATTCACATATTGCTTTGGTACAAAGGTAGAAAAAAAATTCGTAGGCATTGCATTTGAGAGTAACTATATAATTTGATTTTTGAAAGTAACAACTTGTTTTCATTTGATTCATGATAATTTGTATACAATTGGCTCCCGAAAGTAATTTAGTCCACAAATCTGTTAATTTCATAACAAAATTAGAGCATGTTTGCACTGGGATTATTTTTTAGGGGAAAATAAAAGCTTTCTATGAGGACAAAAACATATTTTAAAAAAATAGTATGTTAGGCAAAATATTCACAGTGATAATAAAACTTTTTTCAAAGATTTTTTTATACCGTGGGTAAAATTTTAAAACTTATAATTAAAATTAATTGCATTATTTTTTAGCTTATTTTTATTTTCTCATTTTATCCTCAGTAATTAATTGTTTGAAACATAAAATCAATTGCATAAAGTAATTCTATATTTTTTTTATTTTATAATAAAAAAGTGATTTCCTTAACAATTTAAACAAAAGTAGTTATTTTAAAATCGTTTCTTACTTATCATGGCCAAACATAAAACTTTTTTTTAATAATTGATTATACATGTAATTTTATTATTAAAATACTATCATTTTCATAGAAATCTAAACATATACTCAATTTCCAAATGTGGTCAACGTTACGTTTGAAGAATAATTTTATAAATGAAATTGACGGGATGAGAAACTTAATTGTATCCCCCCCCCCCCCCCAAAAAAAAAAAAAAAAAAAAAGAAGCCAATCAACACATTACTTTTTCTGAGACAAAATTGTGCATTTGCTATCAAAGAAGAAGGAAAAAAAGACAAAAACGTATTCTGTCCTTGCAATCTAATACATGCTATCAGTAAGGAAAAAAAAAAACTATTGGCAACCTATTTTTTAATAGATTCATTTTTAAATAAGAAATGAAGCATACATCATTTTATAGTTAAAATTTTAAAAAATAAAAATAAAAACCAGGCATCATATAATTGATAAGACTAAGACATGAGCGATGAATTACAGGGTCCTAACTATTCCCACGAAATAAGCAGAGAATGGTGAAGTGAGATTTTTGAGAAGAGCACCTAAAGCAGCGTACTCCTCAAATGCCTTAACATCAATTCCACACCGGATGAACTCCGGCAGGAACAGCCAAATGCAGGTTGCCAAAACGAATCCAGCGGTCAAAGGCCCCGACACAAACCTCGGCAACCGCCACGTGGCGGTGAGAGCCTTCTTCAACGCAATCTCCACCGCCAAGCACAGTCCATGGAGAACAAAGAACCACGTCATCTTGAACGTTGGTTCCATCTCCCCCATGTAATACAGTATCAGCTCATGCATCAAACCCGACACCACAAATGTTCCCAACACTGCCGCTATTGCGGCCCCCGTGGGACCAACCACATCCCTTGCGGCTTTCAGTGTCGGCTCGTACACCGTTGGTCGCAGGATGCTGGTTACCATGAGGTTCCACCTTCTACCCCAGAAGTCTTGCAGTGAGGTTGAGAGTAGTGGATCATTGAACTGTGGCTCCAGCTCCAACCCCAGCGTGGCTCGAGCCACCCCTGCAACAATGGCTAATAGTATTTCCAACAGAAAGTAGATGTGGAAACAGTACATGCCCATAATCACTTTTGGGTGAATATAGTCACTGTAGTCGTAGATTTTCACCAAAACTCCTACAAGAACACCCTTTACGGCATATTGAAAAAGTGGGGTATGAACCTTTCTCAGGTTGACGGAAGATGTTCTTTGTTTGGTTTGGCAACTAGTATTTGGCGTTATTGAAGATGGGTCGGTGTCAAAACGGGAACTTGTGGACTTAAGTGATGGATCTTGACGTGGGTTTTTGCCATTTTGATCAGGTTGATTGGGGTTTGAAGGATGCAATCTGGATTGGATCTTGATGGGAAGGCACCCAACAGCTACAAAACGTGAAGGAGAGATAAATAGCTTAGAGGACAAAGGTCCTTGGTCGAAAGCAAAAAGCAGGAGCTTGAAGTTTGCAAGCCATGAGAAGAAGAATCCTGTGGTGCCTTTCAAGTGGACAGAGGAAAAGCTGAAAGGAATGAAGAAGTAGAAGCAGATTATGGGAAGAACAAAGACAAGTCTCGATATTCCCGCTGGTACAAATTTTCGGATCCAATAGCAGTAGCATAAAGATATGCCAACCAAGAGGTAAACCTTGATGAGATTGAACATTTCACCCTCCATAATTGTTGAACCAAGAAGTGAGTGCAATGATCAAGTAAAGATGAAGAGAGGAGTGAAGGTTTTAGAGAGAATGGGATTCTCTTTCCCCAAAACCCAAACTATGGGCAGGCTTGACTTTTAGAGTACTTCTCGAGGTCTGTGGACTCCGACAAACGGAAAGTCACTCTCTGCCCAAAGAGGGGTGTAGCCGTATTGGTCAAGAAACAATACAATGGCTTGAATTTTTTTTTTTAATTAAAATATGTGGTATCTTAATTTTATTTAATAATAAATTATATATAATAATATATATTTTTTATAACTTCACGTGATTCTTTTTTATTAGTATTTTTTTTAGATATAATTCTAAAAAAATTTTAAGTATCGTCCACGCACACTTTTTTTAATAACTTCTTTTCAGGTCCTTGCTCATGGTATGCGTGATTAAGCTGGCAGAGATTGAAAGTTTGAAACTGATATAACTTTTACCTGCTAAGATTTTTTTAATGAAAAATTTGAAATCCTTTTTTTTTTTTACAATACTTTAATGCTAAAAGTATTTTATGTTTTTAATATAATAATAAATAAATGTTTTCATTTAATACTTATTTTATGAATTAGTAAAATAATTATTAGGAGAATTATTAAGTGAATATAAGAAAGTTCTTTTCTAATCTTTATTACTGTTCTGTCAAAAGAAGAAAACCTTTGTTAGTGCCAACAACTCGTATTTTCCTAATGAGAACTCTTGTAATTTTAAATAAAAGTTTGAAATTTGATTGTCTCTCAAACAGTTTTTAATATATTTTTATTATTGATCAGTTTTTTTTTTTCAAGTTTAAATGATGTACAAGTAATAATCAATTTATGAAATAAATAATTTTTTTAAAATAAATTTATCAAATAAAATATATTTAAAAACATGTCTATTAAATGCTACGAGTTAATAGGACATCATGGGGTGCCCAAAACCAGCTTTCTGGAATTAATTGTCTCATTTATTACGCTTCAATGACATCAAATAATTGAGCCATAGAAAAAGGCTAAAAACCATTGGATTTTCACCATGAACGTGTTTGACCCAAGTTTACTCCTTTATAACACATTTTTTTATTATTAAAAATTATATGAGTGTCAAACTTTTTTACTTTTATTTTTTGTAAAAAATAAAATGAAATTTTATTTATTTTTATTATAAAAAATAAATAACAGATTCAAAATATATTAATTAATAAATTTTTTATATTTTTTTTTTATTTTTATTAAATATATAAATTACTAACTATAATATTTAATAATATAGATATTTTTAAAATTAAATTTATATTTATAAAAAATATAACTGATTTAATTATTTTCTTTGATTTCGTGATTTAATCTTTTATTTTTTATAAAAAAATAAGATTGAGTATTTTTTATATATTTTTTAATTTTAATAATTAAATTTAAGTTAATAATAAAAAATATATTACTAATATTCTTCTTAAATTAACTGCATCACAATTAAAGCGAAGCGAACTGGGACACCAATTTTCCAAAAATCCTCGTACTAAATATTTCTCTTAAGCAGATATTTAGTAGGAGGATTTCTTTTAAGGCTAATGCCTGTCAGAATAACACTTAGCTATTTTACAATCTATGTAAGAAAACAGAATCCATAGCATTTTAAAGATACTTTCTTCTTTTTTGTTTCCTTTCTTTTGAAACACATGAATTCATTGTTATTAATTATAAGTTTCCCCTTCAATTATTATTCCTAATTGTATTCAACATTTTATTTTTTTTGGGGGAAAAAACCTTTATTTAGATGCTTAATGCATCTTTTTTATTAGCAGAACTTCATTATTTTTTCTTACGAAATGATTGCACCCTTTTAGGTGATACCAAAAAAATATGTTAAGGTCTCAATGTAAAATATTGGACTCTTAACCCAATAATATCCACATGGAAAATAAGACCCAAATCATTCACACCCAGAACATGATTTCAACAGCCCAAAAATAAACTAACAAAGAAAGAAGAGAGGCCATCAGGTGCTGCCTTGCACGTTGATATGAACATGCTGTTCTTGTTGAAACACAAAATCAAGTGTTTTAGATTAAGCCTTAAATAGCAGATATGTTAAAATGGTTGAAAGTCTTTTATCACCCATGGGTCCATTGGTCAATACAAATCAACATCAAACAATCAAATTTTCATCAGCCAAATTATTAAGTAGCATACAGATTTGTTCAACAGTGTCATAGACCTGTCAAACTTTTAACATTTACGCAAAAATGAATTTGAACCACTTCATTTGATTGAATGTAGTTATGTTCACTTTAAATAAATAAATGTGTATGTTTTAAGAAAGAAATACATAATTTTTATTAATTATAACCAGTGAAACTTGTAACTAATAAGGTTTGTGCTTTTTTTTTTCAATTTAACATGATAATATCAACATGAGAGAAATTAAATTATACAAAAATATAATAATAGTCAACATGACACTAATGGAGTATGACTATAAAGAGAAAACAAAAACATTTTTATAATTATGGTTAATAAATTAATCTTGCATGATAAAAATTGAATTTTTATCTTTTCAATAAAACTACATAATTAAAAAAACGAATTGACCTTACAATAATATGGGATTAATTACACCTACCTAAAATTGCATGATGGCGATTATCTGCCTCCATGTTATCTCTTTGAGCAATTAAAGATATCTGTCTTGAAAGACCAAAATCCCATTGACATCTCACCAACTCAAACAAAATAAATCTGCCAACACTGCAACATTCTGCCATCCAATCATTAGGAGATAACAAGTCATTTGATCTGTAATTCAATCTTCATAACTTTAAATAGTAACTTCAACTCTGGGCGATAACTATTTTTAAGCTTTTTTATTTAATGAAGCAATAACGAGAAAGTACCTTGCCAAGATTGGAACTTTTATTATAATACCCATTTTTTAAAATAAAACATTAACATTTAAAAAATTAAATAATTAAATAACACTTAGATACATAAAAAAAACACATTAAAATGGTCATTTTGCTGTTTCATAACACATTAAACAACTGACAATTACTTTTATTAAATAAAAAAATCTAACCGCACACTCTTTGACATATCTTTAATTATTGACTAAATTTTAAAAGTATGAGAGATAAATATTAATTTAAAAATAAAAAAATTGGTAAGACACATCTTTTAATAAGTTTTAATAAATAGTTTTAAATATATTTAAACGAGTATGTTAAAAAAAATAGGTTGCTAGCATTTCAGCTAAAAAAAGTATAAATAATATAACATTGAGTTATCTATATCAAGAATACACATAATTAGGAATTGAATTTTTAGATATTCACTTTGTCAACAAACCACGAAGAACACCAAAATACTATAAAATCTCAAATTAAAAGAATACCAAAAAGGAAATATTTCAGCAGTGCTATAACCACCTAAAAAAAATGCTAATTCAGAGGAGCACATACACAATCATTTCCATATTATGCAGTGATAAATTGATAATAAATATCTTTGAACACTTGTGTTGGTTATCTGTTGGCAAGAGATTGAAAGATGATAATTGGGAAACATGAAGAGGATGAAGTAGCCATGTGTAGTGCCGTGTAGCATAGGAAAGTTAATGAATAAGACTAGTAACACTCTTTCTAATACACTTTTTATTTTTGGTTAAAATTTATTAAGAATTATATGAGTTTCATTTTTAAATTAATATTTTTTTTGTATTTTTTAATTTTTAATAAATTTTAATTAATAATAAAAATTATATTAAAAATAATATATTAGAGAACGTGTTATTAACTTTATCTGAGAAATAAATATTTATGGGGTACCTTTTTGGTATGGTAAAGCGCAGTGTCCACATTTTGCCAGTTGGGCTGCGAAAGTGCGATGGCCCACTAACCAAATTGGGTTGGTTTGATGTTACACAACATAGGCGCATTTGCTTAATTTCTCTTCAGGGCCCATATCATATTTCTGACCTATAATCTTAAATTTCAAGTTGTATTTTCTTTAATACGGACAAAAAAATATTTGTATCTTTTAACATTAAAAACTTTGAATTGACCCAGAAAAAAATATATTAATGAAACCACCAACCTATGATAACCTTCATTTTCACAGAGAAAATACTAATAATTTGTATACGTCTCAATTGCTAAATTTGGCATTAAAATTAATAATGTTTAAACTAAGATTGACGTGATTCATGAAGATGACTGTTTTAAAACCCAATTTTGAAAAATGTAAATTGGTCTTTATGTATATATAATATATTTGACAAAATAATAAAATTGTTTGAATATGATTTTAGGTCTTGAGTTATGGTTGAGAGTAATTTTTTAATCAGCATTATTTATTATTGACAATTCGTTTATTATCTAAATTACAGTATTAGGAATTGAAAAATAATAGTATTTAATTCATTTATTATTGATAAAATATTAAATGAATATGGTATTAAGTCTTAAATTATGATTCTGGGTAATTTTTACTTAAACTTTTGGTTCATTTCTTCCAATCAATCTTCTAAATAAATTAAAAACAATTAACTATTTATGGAAAAAATGCACACATACGCGGGTTGTGTAAAATTGTGAGCAATGATGTGTGTGTATGGGTAACGTTTTATTTACCAGTTTCCCCTCGAAAAGAAGAGAGAAAAAAGCTAAGTAAAAAGGTGGAAAGTAGATGACAAGTAAGATAAAGTAGGTTTCTGAATTTAATTGAAGGCAACACAATCCGTGAACCTTCTTATTTCATTAGCATAACAAACACATATTAAGCAATTCAAATTACACACACCAAAATGATCTTAATTGCATTCACTGAATTTTCAAGAATGGACTAATGGCCATAAGATTCTTCCAAACGGTGGGCCCTCTCTCTCTCTCTCTCTCTCTCTCTCTCTCTCTCTCTCTCTCTCTCTACTCTCCAGAGAGAGAAAGATCCCCAGACAGACAGACATACATTACACACACCCCAAACGCCATTTATTTATTTTTAATTTTAATTTTAATGATAAAAGATGAAAAGGTTACACATTTTGCAATCCCATAACAACATAATAAAAATGAAAACATTGTAATAAGTTGTAACACTGGCAAAGACATTTATTTATTTATCTGTTCTGTTCCCCAAAATCTTTGCTCCGATTTTGTTGTGATATGTTCAGTTTTATCTTGTAATGTTCATCTCCAACTTCAACACCCTCTGATTCATTCATTGGCATAATCCAAAAGCTACAAATTTGATTGATGGGGTATCTCTCCCTCTCTTGCAGAGCTGAATCAGCCATCTCAACCTTCAATTCTTCGTCTCCTTCCAAACCAAGCAAAGAGAAAGAGAAAGAGAAGGAGAAACCCATCAAGATCCAAGAGTTTCACTACAGTGACCTTGAAGCTGCCACCAATGGCTTCTCTGACCGCAAGCTTCTGGGCAAGGGAAGCCATGGATATGTCTACAAAGCGGTGGTTGGTGGACGGCACGTGGCGGTGAAGAGGCCTTCAAGGCCTCACACGCTTCTTCACCGACCCATCTCATCTTCTGCACCAGAGATCACTAACGAGGTTGACAACGAGATCGATATCCTGTCAAAAATTCAGAGTCCAAGGTTGGTGAATTTGGTGGGTTTCACGAATGATTCAAAAGATAGGCTTTTGGTGGTGGAGTTCATGAGCAATGGTACCCTTTATGATGTTCTTCATTCTTCTCCAAGGCCTCCCAATTGGGGTAGGAGAATTCGTTTGGCTTTGCAAACTGCTAAGGCAATTGATACCCTTCATTCTTCAACCCCACCTGTGATTCACCGCGATATCAAATCTGCTAATGTTCTCATTGACCGTAGCTACAATGCAAGGTTGGGTGATTTTGGTTTGGCTTTGAGGGGTCATGTGGATGACTATAGACTCAGGTCTACTCCGCCTGCTGGCACTATGGGTTATCTTGATCCTTGTTATGTCACTCCTGATAATTTGAGTACTAAAACTGATGTTTTTAGCTTTGGGATTTTGTTGTTGGAGATTATAAGTGGAAGGAAGGCTATTGACATCACATATTCACCACCTTCTATTGTGGATTGGGCCATTCCTCTCATCAAGAAAGGGAAATTGTTGGCTGTTTATGATCCAAGAATCGCACCTCCTAAGGATCCGGTTGTGAGGAAGCAGTTGGCAGTGATTGCGGCTAAGTGTGTGAGGTCTTGTAGGGAGAGAAGGCCTTCTATGAAGGAGATTGTTACTTGGCTTTGTGGGTTGTGTAAGTTGGTGCCGCTTCATTCATGGAATGGTTTTAACAATCCTTGCATGATGGTTGAGACTGTGGGGCGCCCCGTTGAAGCAAGGAATGGTCAATTCAGTTCAAGGCTTGAAGGTGTGGAAGAAGGAAATTTTGAGGCTTTGGATGCAAGATTGTCTAAGTCTGCCATGAGATATTCTCGGAGGGTGTATTCTGATTTGGGGTTCAGTAGCAACTTGATGGACCTCATGGCTACCACTGAGGAGCCAGAATTTGTAAGAGATGCTGATGGTGTGGAACGTAGTTCTAAATCGGCTGAACAGGTTTCTAGCTCAAGGTTTGGCAGTGGAAGATATTTCAACAGAGGTAGAAATCTATACAGGCCTTGTGGTAGTGAGAAGGATGTGTTTGGCTTGAGTGAGGGCCAGATTGTAGGTGAGACTTCAAAGCAGGGTGGGGTTTCTGGTTCGAATTTGAACTTGAATTCTCTGGTTGCTGAGGTTATCTAATCTAGTTGATTGCAGGAACGTTTGATTGGAGTGATGTTGCCTATTTCCTAGGCTTGTAAGCTTTTCTTGCTTGCAAATTATACTTGTGTAGATTTGTTGTTAGTTCATTATTTGTGGATTTCAGAAATGATCTCTTCACTTAGTAGTAGGTATTTGGATTGAAGGGCACATTACTGATGTCCCCTTAACGATGTTCAAAAAACTTTGCCAAAGGTTTTGTTTGCTCCCTCTCTCTCTGTCTCTTCCCCTCAAACACAAATGCAAGAGCCAATGTATGATCCGGGAACACAATGTAATCTTACATACATTAAGCTGTTGCAGAAAAATTGTAAAAAACTCTACCATTGCTTGTTAGTTGAATAACTCGCTTGTATGTAGCTCAAATAATTTTTGAATACAAGCACTGCTGTGGTCCTTTTTGGCAATTCTATTTCTAGCTTTTTGTTTTTGGATGAGTCAATCTCGGCTTATTTCAAGTTAGATTTTGAACTAACGCTTCTTGTTATATGTTCTACTATCTTATCATTCTTTGATTCCTTTTCCATCCACCTATGGTATGACCAAAATCTTCTAGCAATCGAAATCTCATCAATGTTTGAGTGAAGGATAATTGAGAACTTACCAACTAGTTTGTTTGGATTCACGTTTAAATAGGTATAAATTCACATTTATTTTTATATTCTAGTTATAACTTGTGCATTATATTTACATTTACAAGTTTTTAATGTATTTCCAAACACATGCGCCAACATTTTTAGCTGTTAGTGAGAAAGAGGTTTCTTGTTAAGTTGTCCAATATTGCTTAGACTTTGAATAGCCATTAGCATTATAGTAGCATTATATTTTAATGAAGCAAATAATCACATACTATGGGTCAAATTTGCTTTCAGAAGATTGTGGCGTAGATTAATATGCTAGTTTGGCATATGGTGATAATTTTATATAAAACAAAGAGAAAATGACAAGATTAAGGGTGCCATTTCCATAATAGTGGATTAGTGGGGGTGTCTAATGGGCCCCACAAAGCCGATAGCAAAGTTTCAATTCGTCATGTTGTGATCACTAGTTGAAGAATTTGCATTACTACAAAATTGCAATTGCCTAGGTGGTAACAGAGACAGCTTGGTATCAGAAAGTGGGAATATTTTTAATGTTGAAGTTTCCGGTTTCTATGCTAAGCAGTACAATACTTGTATGTTTGTTACTCTGTTCCCATTTCATGTTCAACTCTTCATAGACCAACAAAATTATGCTTTTGCCACACAACTTCAACTCTCTTCTCAGAAATTAACTATTTGAAATCTGGTAGAAAAAATATTTCAGATTTCCTGTAAATAAAATTTTGTGCAAGTGATTACCAAGTTCTTTGATCTCATATTTACTTGAGAATTGTCTCCAATTACAATGTGATTTGGTTACGTCTCACGTTTGTATTGTATTAAGTATTGATTAAAAGTGCTCGATAATGTGTTTCTAAACTTGAGGAGCATCGAATATTTTTTCTAAATTATATAAAAATATTAAAAGATATTTATATATTTTTTCAACTAAATTACTAACTTCACTATTAAAATCAATTATCACAATTGTTTCATGTATAAGAAAGCATTAAATACTCCCTCAATTTTGAGAGCACAGTAGAATTTGTTTTGATTAAATAGAAAGTGAAAAGGGATACTGTTTAACACATTTTTAGTTATCAATTAAAATTTATTAAAAATTATAAAAATATATAAAAAAGAAACATTAATTTATGAGCATGAGCAATTTGTCGTATTATTTATGCCTAGTTTCGTGGAAGAAATCATACGATTGAAAGTCTTGTTTAGAATAATGTTACGATGTGGGTTGCTTTTTTGTAAGTTTTACATTTAGTTGCCAATTTTTGTAATAGAAATTATTTTACTTATAGTCGTGTAAGAAATTAGGTAAGACTGGTTAGGAACAGTAGGAATTGAACTTTCATCATCAACATTTGACGAAGACTAAAGCTATTATTCATTTGTCAAAATAACATAATCTCAACTGGTTCAAATGGACATGTCAAAAACTCGTGTAAATTACCAAAAATAAATAATTGAAAATTTTTTCTTTCTTTTTTTTCTTTTTATGCTGAAAGTGGGTCTTCTTTTCTCTTTCTAATGCAATGTATGTGTCATTTACAGTAGAAATTGACGAGATAATTACAATATTATGATTCATGACATAAGTTTCTGAATCTTTAGGGATTCAATTTTATGGTCTAGTCTTGTTTTAATCAAAATCTAATATAAATAAATAAATAAATCAGGTCCATTCAAAACTTTGAGAGCATGTCAATTGGTATAATTAATTGATGTTGCTCTTAGTTATTTTGGCCACCTCACCTATTCCTGGTTATCTAAGTAAATATTGAAATTTGAATTTTTTTTTATAAATATAAGTTTTTTCCATATCTTATTTGTTTATGTATTTTTTAATAAATTCATTGAACAAATAATGGTGCATTTCCAATTATTTATTTTAAAATACATAATTCACTAAAAAAAGTAAAAAAAAAATGTGCTTTTACTTATTCACTTTAAAACTTAAAATTAGTATTTAAAAAAGCATCTTACTTTCTTTCAATGATAAAGCTAGTGAGGTTTTCGGTTATTTTAACATTTATGTTTATTGAAATCCTTTTAAAAACAAAGTTTGATGTGAGCCCCTTGGTGGTTGGAATGAAATCAAATCAAATTAAGTAATGTTTCTTAATATTATATTTCATTAATTATAAAATTCTTCTCTTGGCATGTAGGCTTTTGGGGTTCTTAAAATGTAAGTGACATATATAAGATGAATCAACGTTGCATGAGTTGGTAACCCAATTAACAATCATACCCAGATACAAAATTTCCCATTTTGTTTTTCTAAGTGTTCTTCTCTGTTGGTTTATATTAATCATTGCAATTGCCAAACCCAATTTCTCATCATGAATCTTAACAGTCACTCCATATCCAACTATTACTTCCAATATTGATATGAAGATTTATTCAATAGCATCTTTATTATCTTTTTAAAATAAGCAGCGTGCTTTAGTTTTATTTTTTCCCCAAAGATTTATATGTCTATTATACTTTTATTAAAATATATTAAGGAAAGAAAATGGATTTTATCATGTTATATGGGCTTATCTACTGTGATAATTAAGAATCTATGAAGCAATTGGTCCTGACTAAACAGGTTCATTAGAACACGTACTTTTCGAAATTTATATAAATATTTTAAGCTTATTTTCACGAGTTAAATATTTAAAAGCGAAAATAAGTACTTGGAAAACATAAAAATAGCCAACGAAGTAGTTATTATATTATCAAAATTATATCTTTAAATAAGTGCTTCTTAAAGTGTTTATCGAAAAATTGTTCGCCTTATTTTAAAGATTAAATTCTTATATATTATTCTAATAAATAAATAAATAGAATCCTTAAATTAAATATATTTTTAGATCCATGCATAGGTTCAATTAAATTAAAACAGCACAAACTTATTAATATTTTTAATTACAGGAACTCATAAAAGAATTTTAAAAAGTACAAAGTCACACAAACTAAAACCTATTTTTAAATATTTAACTGTCAGATAGACAAAACCTGGGTCTTGAACAACTCTAAAACAAAAATAAAAAAAATAAAAAAAGAGAGAGAAAATTTATTTTTCTCTTTCTCTCAAATCTCCAGATATACATGCATTTGCCTCCTGGAATCCTTATCCTTTTGGCTAACAGTCACTGGTCATGCCAGCACAAAGAGATAATATTGGAGGTATTTTCTTTTTCTCTAGGTTAATGAGATAATGAGTGAATGGGGCTATTATTATTATTATTATTATTATAGTATACTTTTACTTGTGTGTTCCTTTTCATGATGGCATTCAAGTGGATCGGACTAACTATACCCACCTTTTGGTGAAATGTTTTTCATATGCTTTTAAGAAAAATATATCTATATTTTAACAAGCGTTTCTTCACATTATTTGTATATTTGCATATATAAATAAATTGAGCTAAACTAAATTCAATTAAATTAAAATTGCATTGGTAAAATTTTCTTAACATCGATGCTGAGAATCCTTTAAAGTTAAAAAAATCATTTTGGGTAATCAAATTATCTGAATGAATACAACAGTGCATTCCATTTTGATGATGCAAAATTGCCCTCATCAGAATTCGGAGGTTTACTTTTATACTTGAGTTGTTGTGTGTGAGTGGTCAAGATCAGAAGAACCAAAGGGACAATTTTATATTTCAGAATTGAATTTCCGTTGCCCAAGAAAATGACTACACAGACGCCAAGTTATCTTTGGTTGGTCAGAGCCAATGTTACAGCCAAAATCGTTTTTAGTTCAGACAATGGTATCCACTGTGAAGACAAATAGGAAGAGGCTGTCTAAAGTGTTATTCCATAATCCAAGAAACTAGAAGAATGTGAGTGTCTTTTACTGTTTAACTGCTTGCAGCAGGTAAGAAAATCTATATTCCTTTCCTTAGATCAAGGCTTTACAGCTCACAAGCTTACATGCAGCATATATCTCTCTTTTGAATTTCTTACAAGCTATAGCTTCATGTGATTGTGTTATATATAGTTGACTCAAGATCCCTTGTTATATTTGATGAAATGTATTTCTAAAATTATGTACATGCAGCAATTAGGCAAGATAATGTGGGAATTTTATGTTTGGTAGAGTAGGGGCCTATTATTGAGCTTGTTTTATACCTTTTCTTTATGCCTTTTTGAAAACTTTACTCTTAGAGTTAATAAATCACAATATTTTCCCCGGAAGGGAAAAGGGTCATCATGGAATGGAAGCTTGGTTGTGCAAAGGCCAAGAAAAATGTCAAAAGGTTCCAACAATTCCATCAAGAGTCAGTTCTTTTGTGTCTGTACCTAAATGACATCTTTAGGTGAATTGAACCACTTTTATTGGATCATCCAATGAAAATCGTTGTAGCAGTCTAGAGATTTGCGATAATGTCTGATTAGTTGGACAAATCTCATGGAAGAAAAAGAGCAAAAATTAAAATGAACAGAAACCTAGCTTTCTTAAAAAGGTCCATATAATTTTTTAAGATTGTCGCAAATGCATGGCTTTGTATGATCAAGTCCTCCCATTATTTCTTTGCATAATTCGAAAATATATATATAAAATCAAAATATTTGACGTCACTGAATGTTAGGGAGGTAGTGGTCATCAAGAAAATAAAATCAGAGATAAATTAGAAACAACAATTAAGGAGAAAAGAACAAAGATGTTACCGTATTTTTTAGAGTAGTAGTAGAAATCGAACTTTAAGAGAGGAGAATTTGTCAAAATTTGAGCGTAAGAGTAGAATTTAATTATTACTAATTAATATCATTTTTCATATTTTAATTTTCACCCATCTTACACTTTTTT